ATTTTAACCCTGCTACATGTGCATGTAGATCCCTGTAATGTAGAAAGTTCCGTTGCCACTGAATCTTTTACTTCTTGTGCACCCTCTGATCATTCTGATGATGAGCCAGAAGAGACTCTTGCTGTTGATGAATCCCTCTTTCTGCGAAATATCACACTCTTCTATCTTAAACTTCAGGCTAAACTACTGTTACCTGCTACTACAATACAGACTATTATTGAGGGATATCAAGATGTCCATGATATTAGTCTGACAAATTTGATTAATAACTTAAGTGACAAACTGACTGTCCTTGGAGTCCCAGACACCACAATCAATGACATTATGGTGGAACTCAGAAAAGAAGATCTTCTCACTGCCTGTAACAGTGGGCCTTTGAGCACAGACCAGAAAAGAAAGACCGCTTTTAAAAAATATTTTAATTATGTTGAGCCTGTGCCTCTGTTGTTAGGTACCGATGATAAAGGTAGGGAATCATTTGCCCAGTATGTACCTGTTCAAGAAACATTGGCTACACTTTTTAAAAGCAAATCTATTCAAGAACAGTATGCAGCAACACGTTCCCAGCCATCATCAGAGGGTCTTTTCCAGGACATTAAGGATGGGAAGGGAGCTCAGTGCAACCCTTTATTTAAAATGGAGCCATCCTCGCTTGGTCTGATACTCTATCAGGATGCGTTCGAAGTTGTCAATCCACTTGGCTCTTCAAAAAAGAAACATAAGATTGTAGCAGTTTATCTAACTCTGACAGATATTTTGCCTCATAACAGATCCACCACAGATCAAATGCAACTTGTTCTCTTGTGCAACGAGCAGGCATTTAAATATTTTGGGATAGACAAGGTATTTGAGCCTCTCATAAAAGACCTGAAAGCTCTTGAGGAGACTGGTGTTGTAATAGGTGATGGGCAAATTGTCAAAGGTCGACTGTGTGCTATCTCAGGTGACAATTTAGGGTCTCACAGTATCGGCGGTTTTGTTGAGAACTTTAGTAAGAGCCATTACTTCTGCAGATACTGTGATTTAGATAGAACTACTTTTCAGAACTCGCCACTATTGTGTGGCAACACACGAACAGAACAGTCCTATCGGAATCATCTGCAGGAATTAGGCACCAGTGGAAGAAATTCTGAGGTCGGCATTAAATCAGACTCTCCTTTTAACCAACTATCCTTCTTTCACGTTTGCCAGCCTGGACTGCCCCCATGTCTTGGGCATGACCTGTTTGAAGGCATTGTTTCGAGTGACCTTGCTTTGTTTATTGGTTATCTAGTTAAGAATAAACATTTTAGTTATCTACATCTCAACAGGTGCATAGATCAATTCAAGTATCAGGGGAGTGATGCCCACGACAAACCAGCTGATGTTTCACCAGGTAGCAATAAACTTACTGGACATGCCGCCCAGAACTGGTGTCTCCTTCGTTTGCTACCCCTACTGGTGGGAGATAGGATTAAGAATCCATGTGACGATGCAGTTTGGCAACTTCTGCTGCAGCTTAGAGAAATTGTAGAACTCATTTGTGCACCAGCAATCACAACAGATCAGGTCGCTTATCTTAAAATACTCATTGAGGACTACATATACTTTCGAAGACAGCTCTTTCCTGATCAGTCCCTGAAGCCCAAACACCACTATTTGCTTCATTATCCACAGCTCATTACAGAGTTTGGCCCCCTAATTCGCCTTTGGACTCTCAGGTTTGAGAGTAAGCACTCTTTCTTCAAGAGATGTGCTAGAAAGTTGCACAATTTCAAAAACATCTGCAAGACAGTTGCCGAGCGACACCAGCTCTTCCAAGCCTATTTGAGTGCCGGTGAAATGTTCCAGCCAAGTGTGTTATTTGATAAGGGCACAGCATTCTACGTAAATGACTACAGTGACAAAATCAGAAAGGCTGTGGTTGGTTTGAATTTGGAATTTATAGATACAGTAGCATCTCATGTAGTGACAGTGAAGGGCACTTCATACAAAAAGGGCATGTATATCTTGTTGGGGAAAACTGAAGAAGAATTGGAGGTTGGCAAGATAGAGCTGGTCATTGTTCACCATGGTTCTGTGTTCTTCATCTCAGAAAAATATTTGTTTGTGAAATTGAGTGACATTGGGGTCTATTGCGTATTAGGGACAGCCCAAGAGGAGTTTGTTTGTGTGAGGCATGAGGATCTGCTTGATTATTATCCTTTGCCAGCTTATGAGATGTGTGGTATGCCAATAATCTCCCTCCATCACTCGTTTGCAGAAACCTACTAATACAATGACTGCTGCATCAGAGGAGATCAGCAAGGCTGTCTTGGCTGCTCTTCCAGGGCTCCCCTCAGATACCTTGGCATCCTTGATGACAGGCCTGGAGAGCCTTGGCGTGCAGAGCAGGGAGGACCTCTGCTATTTGAAGGAAGATGATCTTCTGACCTACCTTCGTCCAGTCCAGTGCAGAAGGCTCATTTGTGCCTTTACACCAAAAGGTTCTGTTAATATCTCCCAGGAGAGAGAGATTCAGTTACACTAAATAGAACAAAAGGTGGTACCAAAAGAAAAAGTGGTCACTGTTTAAAGTAAGTTATGTTACCTATTCAATGATGTGGGAGAGGGACTATGTCTATTGACAATAGAGCATGGTCCAGCTAATCTTTGAGGATATTCTCTCCATTCTATGTAAATAATTGCATTCAATTGTTATATTCCATCTTTAAGGTTGTCTTTTAAGTAATTTTTATTTGTTTTGTAAGCTTTTTAAATATAGCTACCATTCTAGTATAAATATCACTTTCTCCTGAAAGTTCAGACTACCAGCTTTGAAAATGTGGAAGTAAATATAAAAATGTATGTAAATGTTTTTGCTTCAAGTAGAAAATATCATTGTGGGTGTTGGAATAAAACATTAGTGTTACAATGATCAAAATATTTATTTCAGATCCCTCTTCAGCCCCATTTCTCCCTGGAAGTCCAGATCCCTCCTCTGCCCTGTTTCCTCCTGGAAGTCGGGAAACCTCCTCAACACTGTGTTGCCCAGATACACCCAGAACATTCAACACCAGAGGACAACTTCTGCCATCACCACACACACCATGGCCCGTAAATTTTAAAATAAACTGGGAGAAAATGCCGTCAGAGATACAGTCAGCTATCGCAAATTCAACAAGACCAAATCCAGCAGCGAGAAGAGCGATGATCAGAAGTGTTGTTGATCAGATGAGAGAGCACAATGCAAACCCTAAAAGAGGGATCTGTGCGCAGGTTGCCAATGATAT